CTGACGCGGACTGAAGTGTTCGAGTATAAAGCACGAAGGATGTTTACATATTTCGTAGGAACACCTTTCAGCACAAGTATTTCGAACAGAATCGATCGATCGACTGAATCGAAAGCACTCTCGAAATTGAGAGACAGCTATTGTCGCTCTGTGGTATGCGTGGCGCCATTCCAGCACCTGCCACAAAGTGTATATAACGTTTATACAGCCATGTCCTGGGTGGAAACCGGCCTGCTTTTCCCTAATCCTAGATTCCCGTTCCGCAGTGAGGCGACGAACGATAATCGAGGCCAATAATTTTGTAACAATTGGCGTTAGGCTAATACCCCTGTGGTTAAAACAGTTTGTGAGACTGCTCTTGTATATTGCCAATATAATCGATTCACTCACATTAGCCGGGAGGCTCTCTTCTTTCCAGATACATACGAATAAGGTCAGTGCTTTGCCGAGGACCTCACCTCCATCTTCAAATAGTGCAGGTGGGAGAGAATCCGGGCCAGTGGCAAGAAAACGATTGACGACTGTGATCGCGTTTCGGACCTCGGCCTCCGACGCAGGCTCTAAACTAACCGTCCATATCTCGTCCTGCATCACCTGAGTAGGAAGAGGTCCGGGAGCAGAAGGCCAGCTGAGCTGGCCTTGAAAGTGTTCCACCCAACGAGCCATACGGCGTTCCTTATTGTGTATCAGTGCACCCGCGCTGTCTCTGGTTGTCTCACTGATGCCTGGTTTCCTGGGACCAGTGGTGCGGATAAGTTGGAAGAGCTTGTAGTAATTGCCTACTGTTCCTGCCTCCTCCATTTCTTGAGCCCGAGTGGTCCACCAGACTTCCTTGTCAGTATGTAGACTCCGCTTTAGTTCTTGCCTAACAGTCCGTCTGGTCACATTGTGTTCAGAGCCAGCCGGGAGGTTTCTTCTAGATTCCAACAGGTTCACCGATCTCTCGGATTTCCGGTGACTGGTGCGGTGACGATTGATAGTGCCACAAACAGATGCTGGTGCGTCGTGCATGCCGATGAGATCCTATTCCACTGAAGCTCATTGGCATTAGCACAAGGCTGCGGAAGTTCAGTATGCAGTGCGTCTTGATAGGCTTGCATGACCGAGGACTGAGACAATTTATCAGTTGCCGATCGTAAGGACGCATGGTGCGCCTACCGGCAAAGTTCATGGAGAAACGACATCGTACCAAGGCATTATCAGAGTCGACACAGGTACTCTAGTACGATCGGCAATCCAGGATGGAACCACGCCATTTGTAACTTATGGCAATGTGATTAATTTGGGTACATCGCTGGCCAGCTACAGGAGGACGCCAAGTGGCACTTCGGCGCCCACTATGTCTAAAAGCAGTGCTACTAAGAAACAACTGGTGCTCCGCACACAGTTGCAGCAGACGCTAGCCGTTGTCAGTCCGTTCGGAGTTAAGCCCACATTTACCACCTAGCTGAGCTTCTGAAGAGTTCAGACGCCCTACTCGTGCGTTCATATCCCCTACAAGTACTATAATATCTGAACAAGTAGCACTGCGTAATAGCGCATTCAGTTCGTTACAGAATGTGTCCTTGACAGCAATTGAACTGCAGTCGGTGGGAGCATAAGCGGAAATTACAAACAAACAGCGTTTTGTACTACTTCGTGAATCAACCTTAGCTGATGTCGTCAAACGGGCTGCACATAAACGGCTGTTCACCGGAATCCAATCAACCAACGATGGCTCAGCCTTGGAGCTGAGAATGATACCTACACCAGCTTGACCCGTGAGTGCTGCATCGGCGTCTCCGGATGCGTGCAACCAATAACGAGAGGATAAGCCGGGTGCAGTTAATTCAATAACCCCGTTAGGATCAGTGATCCCACTCGCACACACAACACACATCAATACCCAGTGTGTCCAAGGTGCGTGCGAGTGCAGCCTGTTGACCTGTTTGTCTTAGAGTGCGAACATTGAATGTCGCCATGGAAACGGGATAGCGTGGCCTTATAAGGGACTTTTGCCGATAGGCGTCCGATAGGTGCTGTGGGATGGTGGCTGCAGATGGTTCTACTTCAGTGGCATTTCGGTTGCTGTCAACTAAGTTGGGAAGTATAGGTCAGTAATGGGGATCGGGATGGGAGTTAGAGGAAAAGGTGGAAAAGAAAGAAGGGAGGCGCCGGCAGTAGTATGTTTTCGCTTATCCGCCCTGCTGTATGCAGCAGATAAGGTAACCCTTGATAATCTGCGCGACGGCCGATGCAGGATGAAGTTTATGTTTGAAGAAAATGTCATGGTTGTATGTGGGCTGAGATACTACCAGGGCGCCCAGAACTAGACAGGAGGACGATTAGGTTCCTCATCTAAAGCCTTTGGCTCAAAAGCCTGTCCGCAAGGCAGCGAAGAGGTGGCAATGATTTAGTTTTACGGAAATGGACGCTGTCCCATTTCAAACCCCCAACCTGGAGGACCAGGAGACTGAGTTTGTCTGAGCTCTCACCATTGACCAACCTGGTAGAAGTAGCTCTCAAGGTGCCCGGATGCATCACCCAGTATAGCTCAATGGGTCAATGAGGTACGCAAACCGTCGCACCACGTTAAGATCCAGTCTCGCTGCGACGTCTTGACATTGCTAAGAGGAACTTGGTGGTTGATCAACTCACTTATCTAGACAGCTGCAGGAACAACGATGGGCGCATAGAAACTGGCGTCAGCTCACGCATTGCAAAAGGGCCAGACCTGCCTTCTTGAACCTGCGGCATCTTTGACGACAGAATCGGTTCCCTCCGTCTGAAAGGCCGTGTATACAAGGCCACAGTGAGGGCCGTTCTGCTCTATGGTAGTAAGACTTGGCCCCTTCGGTCTGAAGATCTGAGGCGCCTTCAAGTCTTTGAGCATCGTTGTCTGCGAAGCGTTGCTGCTGTCGGATGGCATCGGCGTGTCCGCAACGATGATGTGCGTAGACGAGTACTAGGTAGTGATAATCATGCTAGCTCCCTAGAACAACCGATAGCACTGAGTAAGTTGCGTTGACTCGGGCATGTGCTACGTATGCCTGGTTACCGCTTACCTAGGAGGGCTTGGTATAGTCTGCCAGGTGTAGGACGGCGCAAGACTCGAGGTGGACAGAAGTTGACTTGGCAGCGGGAAATGAAGTCACTGACGACCAAACTGGGTGAAGTCGGTCCGTCTCGCCTTCCGGGCTGGAGTCCACGTGACTCGCCTTGGGCTTGGCTCGAGACTTTACAGGACGTGGTTCGCAACCCACACCAGTGGCGCATCTGCTGCCGTCTCCTAGTCGGACTGCCTGTTTAAATCTTGTTTGGTGCTTTGTTATCTGCGGGGTAATGGCTGATTATGATGCGGCGCAGTGAAAGCAGCAAGGAAGCTGTCTCGCCAATGCCACCTTATCTTTTCATGTTAGCCAGTTGTTTGTGACGGTAGGTTGTATACACAAGGTCTAGGCGTCTTGACCCTGAAGGTTTGCTTAGGGCATTAAGGTTTTCCGTTTAGTCACGCTACTCTCCTTCTTATTATTTTCTATTCCATAGGTCATCATGGTTGTATGCAGCGAAGCATCAGTTCAAACGGCTGATGTACTGCTGTTGTTGTTGGTGGTGCAAATTCAGCTGAAACGATCGACAGCAGGTGCCAATTTGTCTAGTACTGCTTAGCACGCTTGGGAGATGTGGTCGGTGTATATGTCAAGAAGTCGATCACCAGGAAGCAATACCACAATTTGAAGGTCGTGCCCAATGAACGCCGTTATCATGACTTTGTCGATGACGAATGGAAGATGAAAGTGGGCAGTAGTTTCACACAGCTGGAGATATTGAGGGGTGTTTGCCATTAACCCCCACTCTGTCCGAAGTATACACAGGCAGGGCTGTTATGAAATTTAAATAGTTCAAGGGCACACGTTCCTTTGGCACATAGATCCACCAAATCGAAGCCATCTTTAATGTCGAGAAGCACGACTACGGTGGGTAGTCAACAAATATGGCGGTGTTCCAACTACTGAAGTGATTTGCAAAGGTGGTAAATAGAACCTGGAAATATCACAGTGCATGCACCAAAGAAATGCATTATAAGTAAACCAGTGCGTCGCAACAACGCTTCAATGCCATGCGATCACCATCGGTCGCGCGCGGGCTAGAGACGCTGTGAAGTAGTCAAACCTTCGCGAGAGCCCTAGGCTGCTACCAAAATTTGGTCTACAGCTACTACCTGGTAAGCGAAAGACTGACAGATTATTCTGATGACATCATCTTGCTTGGTGACGAATCAGAGCAGGCAAACCATTCTAGACCATTGGGCGATTGAAGCATCTAGGTACGGAAGGTGCTTTGCTCCGACAAAGTGTAAAGTGCTGCTTCAGGGTTGGCACGCACCTGTTCCCATGCTCAATAGTTTACACACCTTGAACTAGTGGGGTAGCTTTGTCAACCTGGGCAACTGTGGCTGCTAGCGGTACCAATGGAAAGGGAGTTTCTTTTCACATCGCTAAAACTCGGTCTGCGTTTGTCTACTTGAAACACTGGTGGCGTCATCGGCATGCCTCCTTCTTGGTAAACGGTTGTGTTTACTAGGCTACCATTCGGATACTGTGAGGCTTGCCATGCCCCTAAGCAAACTAGAACCCGCGCCCACAAATTACAAGACAGGCTTGTGATGCTTAAGGCTATAACCCGGTAAAATATGATTGCTGTGCTATCTCATTCCAATGAACGTTCAGCTTCACTTGCGGTCAAAGTGGTTACTAGCGGAATTGTTGCGCGCCGATCCACCGTCCAAAAACGACTACAAGCGTTACGGATTGGGAGACCTCTGAACAATTCCATCGCGGTTATACAAGCACGTTTTTCACACTATAACGACTGTTTATTGTACAGGTTGTTCCCTCTACAGCTTAAAAAAAGATAAACGAGTAGCCGAAGACCGACTGGGTAACGCAGGTTTGTGTCATTAATTAAAGGCAAAGCAAAATGACAGTAACTGGTGTCAAACAACAAGATGGGGAACTTACCGCCTGTAGCATAACCTCTAAAGTATAATAATCTCCCAAGAAGAAAAATGGCCCCACAAGCTGAAAATGATCGCTTTTATCAATTTAGAAAGAAGAAGTAGCGAATTACCGGGAACCTCAAGCCACCAACAAACAGGAGCATCAGGAAAAGCGGAAGAGTTTCCAAGCTGAAATAAATCGCGAAGATAAGTGTCAACGTACTAATTCTGGTGACCACGCTGAATGCAATTAAATGCAGTGTTCGTGGGGTGGTAAAGCAGTGGATACTGAAGAATGAAACAATCGAAGATCAAACCTCAACGTTGTGTTCCTTGCGAGCTTTCATCACTTGCTTCGAAAAATACATGTTCAATGCAACAGACCCCATTCCAGTAAGAACGATACCGCCATAATAACGTGGTATACACATAGGAAGAGATGACAGGTTAGGAAATAAAATTTGTTGGACACCCATCTTGCAACGGACCGTCGAATTCTCCTACCAGTGACAGATTAGGAGAGGAGCAAGTGTCCCACGGGTCGATATTTCAAACGGATAAAACAAAACCATTTTTATTGATGTGCAAGACAAGTTCAAGTGGGACTTGAATAGTAGGATAAATCCCCCTGAATGTTCCTTCCGTGGCGCGTCGTTTATCCAGGGTATTATTCGTCCGCAATAACTGGAATCCAGAAGTTCGAGTTCAAGTTCAAGTGTGACTGGAACAAAGGATTATCACGTGAGTGTTCCTTCTTCGGCAAGTCGTTGAACCAGGAGTTGGCGAACTTTGAAATACTGATAGACCTAAAACAAAGACCGCATCACACCCTGTCCAACCAATTAATGCCCACGTATCCTGCCCTGGCAGTCCCTGCTGGGCCGGTTACGTGAATTAGGAAGAGAAAAAACTAAAATCAGAAGCCAAAATAAAAGTGGAAAGAGCTAAGCAAATGGGATACCAAGATATTTGAGTCATTCAAAAAAGAACTGAAAAGTGAATGTGAGTCAGCTAGGAAAAAGGAAAAGTTTGCTGTTGACACTCACGATCATCGAGTTTGCGCGCAATACCTTTGACCGTAAGTTCCCTAACCACGTGATTCGGAAGTGAATTCCAGCAGTCTAGGATTCGGCGCGACAGACTACTTTCCTTCCTAATCCTATCAGACCGTGGGTGTTGCAGCTTCAGTCGTTGACCGCGGAGCTTAGGTAACGTTGTGAGACTAAATAGTCCTGCCAAGTCCGGGCCAATCTTACCCTTCAAAATATTATAAGTGAGAATCAGGTGCCCTCGTATCCTTTGGTAGTGCATGGAGTACATACCCAAACTGAGCAAGCGTTCAGGATATGTCTGTCCCCGTAGATCCTGCACTAGCCGAGTGCCCAGTCGTAACACCCTCTCCAAGTTCATTTTGTCTCGGTTAAGCCATGGTGCACAAGCCTGAATACAATATTCCAGGTGGAGTCGGATGAATGCCGAAAATAGCTTCACAGACTAATGGGCCCTTAAGCTTCCGAAAGAGCGGCGGATAAACCACATCATACGAAACCCTCGACAAGCAGCCTTTTCCCCGTTGTCTCCAGAATGAAGTGTTGATGCGTGTACGTGTCCTAAATCAAGCTGCTGAGTGACAACAGGGGGTTCACCACCGCCGAAAACATATCGGTGGGATGATCTGCAGCTCCGATTCGGACACAGAGCACATGGCCCTATTTATGGTCATCAATCAAAGGTAGACTCTTCCCAGCGCCTATCCAATGCACGCTGAATTACCTCAGGACCCCCGGGATATCCACAATATTCCAGAGCTTAAGGTCGTCAGCAAACTTTAGTGATGACACCCCTAGCTCTCCCGGCAAGTCATTTACATTGATTGCGAACTACAATGGCCCCAACACCGAGCCCTGCGGAACGCCACTAAGGAGAGCTTGCCTAAGCGCAATGCTACGCCACACCCGTAGGCACTGCTCACTCACCTCAAGAAAGGCAGTCACTCATTGAAAGGCGCGACAAGATATCCCGTAAGATCTCAACTTTGGTGAGGGCTGAAGATGTGGAACAGTGTCAAAGGCTTTCGAAAAATCTGCGATAGCACGTCTAAGGCATGGCCATTGTCTACCGTTTCGGCCCAGCTTTCAAGAGCTACAAGTAGATTAATGAGTCATGAAAATCCTTGGCGGAATCCATGTTGCGCAACACTGAGAAGGTTGAATCTTTTCATGTGGTTCTCCACTGAATCCCTTATCAGCTTTTCAAACAGCTTGACTACTACGCTTGTCAAACTTACGGGCCGGTAGGTTGCGGGTAGAGCGCTGTCACCGCCTTTAAGAATCGGACAGATGATTGCCTCCTTCGCTTCAGAAGGTAGGATGCAGCTTTCGAGCGATATTGAAAACACGCAGGTAAGAGTACCACTCAGCTCAGGGGCCAATTCATGCAACCGCTTCGGATGAATGGAATCAGGACCGAAAGCTTTAGAGGGATTAATGCCTTGCAGTAGCTCGAAGTCCTGAGTCTCCGTTATGCTAAATTCATCTAAGCAAAAATTCTCTGAAACTCTTGAAACCAATTCAACCTGTGGTAATGCGGTCTTCCGAGCAGAGACCCCAGTATACTGATCACTACGTATACAAGCCTTTTCATGGTCGGTTTGCGCACGGGTCCCGTCTGCTCGCATTAACACTGGTATAGACAGTTTTGCCCTGCTGCTTCTCTTAACGTAAGCATAAAGCTTCTTGGGATTAGCTGCGGCCGAGTCCGCTAAACCCTGCTGGTACTGGAGACGAGCAGTTCTGAGATGCTGCTTACATTTCTTTCTAATCTGTCGATAACTATCATAGGTACTGGCTGATGGAGCTGCTTGGTAGGCTCGCCAGCATCTAGACCGTTTCCTGAGTAGGTACTTGCCTGTGGTATCTATCCTCGGAGGCTGTGCCCATAACCCTCTTTTCTTAATGAGTGGAATATAGGGAGTGGAAACCCCCGTAAAGTATGCCTTAAATTTATCCCAGGCTAACTGGACAGAGGCCGCCAGCAATATCTCACATTTCAGGATTGGAGCCTTAGCTCGCATTGCACTAAAGTCCGCCCGCCAAATATTCGGACGTAATTCAACAGCGGTCTCTTGATGCATTTACAGCGGTCTCTTTGTGCAGAACAGTCAGATCAACGAGCGAAGCACACCACGGACAACCAAATCATACCCACGCTACCTGCACTGGCAGTCCCTGTCACACCGGTCACGTGAAATAAGAAAGAGAAGTACGAAAATAATAAGAGCACCAAGAAAAAACCTATGAGATTTAATAGTTCAATAAGACGATTAAGCTAGGACGTGAAGGAGAATGTTAAGGATTGAAGGCCAAGAGCGTCGAGTCGGCGTTCGAACGCTTTCGCTGTTTGTGCCAATACCACGTTCCCAGACAGTGCATTCCAGGAATCCACCACTTAGGGTGATAAACGAATTCGGCCCGTAATCCATCCGGCCGAGGTTTGTGTAGCTTCAGCGAGTGACCTTGGAGCGATGGAAGCCGAGCCGATTGGAAAAGCCCAGATCAATTGGCTCCTATTTTACTATTATGTATGCGATAGGTCAAGACTAGATTGCCTGGAGGTTGACGATAATTCATCGAGAACATTCCCAGTGCAAATAGTCTTTCCGGGTAAGAGTGGTTCCGTAGTCCATGAACCAGTTTGGTTCCAACGCTCAACACTCTCCACTGAAATCCTGTCCCTGACTAAAGAAGGTGAACAAGCCTGGATACAGTTTTCCAAGTGTGGTCTGAAAAATGCTGGGAATAACCTAACAAACATAGCACCCGTGATGATCCCGAATGACCTGCGGATCATTCACAGTATTCTGAAACCCATGCACGTTGATTTCCTCCAGTTCTCACTGGATTTAAGTTCTGAAGACAACGTGACCCCTAGGTCTAACAATTGGGAAATATGGTGTAGCTCATTACCGCCAAGCACCCAACGCGTTTGGGGCTAGTTGGTCCTATTCGTAAGATGGAACACTTTGCATATTTTATGGGCAACTGCCACAGAGCAACCCAGTCGTAATTTTATCGAGTGCCCGTTGCAGAGTCTGGGGTTCATCGAAGTCAGACACTATGTGCCAAAACTTTAGGTCATCTGCAAACATGAGAGATGGTATCTCCAGCAGTTCGGGCAGCTTGTTGACATACAAGGAAAATAACAACGGGCCAAGCACCGAACCTTGAGTGACCCCACTGAGGACGGACTGACGGAAAGACAGACAAGATCCCACACGGACACATGTCTCTCACCCTTCCAGAAACGTGGTGATCCATTTATTGTGAAAACATGTAACCGATATGTGAAGCAGGAAACAGCTTAATACATTAATTTCTTTAAGATTTTCCGAAGACACTATTTCTGTCCTTGGGAAAGCGTTCTGGGATATTTTACATAAAGAGTAAATTTCTGTTTTCGGCCTTAATTCCTAAAAATCCGCTGCGAAGTGTAGCGTATATGTTTAGTAAGTTTTTACTACAGCCTAGGTGCTCTCATCTAACATATCTTCATTTAGCATTTGTCATCCATCGCAACAGAGCAGTTATTTGTGTCGAATCAACTAATCGTAACCCCATAGATAACCGTATACCAAACTACTTTAAATGTGTGACTTTCATGAGTTTACATCATGTGATTGCTCTTTGCTGGAAATGCAGCAACAAGCTGTTTTGTTTATACTTTTCTCTCCTATCATTTGACTTTGAATTTTTGCTCTAAAGTCGAAACGGTCCTCCGCATAACAAGCGTCCCGCACGACACTGAGTTAAGCGAAATGATCCTTGTTACTTAGGGCACACGGGAGCTATGTTAATGTCCGGTTATAAGAAACCATTACTATTTCGGAATGGGCAATTATGTTTTCCTTATATATTTGCGTTTTGTTTTAAGTCGGATTTGTCTGTGCTGTTATTATGGTTCGATTAGTTTGATAAATTAATTTGTTTTTCTTAATAATGCACCCTTTTTGTGAATTGTTACCGTGATGGCGCCTAATTTATTTGAACAAAACTTCCGCTTGACTGCCGATAGATAACAGTTAGATGCGCTCAGTAGGAGAACCGTATGTGTATCATGGTGGTGACCGAAGTGCAGTGTTTAAGTTGAGCGTCAATTCTTAAGCCACATTTGCTTGATTTTACTGGGCTTGGTAGACCGAATACACAAGGAATGGAAGGACCTAGAAGCCAAGCCCCACTACCTTTTCTATGTAAACTCATAGTTTATTTACTTATCATCTGCGTACCACGCATTTCGCACGTCGCTCCTTTGAATACAACCATTTCGGTCCCGCATGTTCCTTTTTGTATTCAGCTCATGGAAGCATATTTTTGCATTACTATCGGTTCGTTGGAGTTGCTGCGTTAGTTACTTGGTGGCTACTTTTCAGGTGCCGTATCTTTGCTGCCGGGATTTCTCGTCCGTATCTCGAATCTTT